TGTGGAAGGTCCTCAGCCTTCATGGGACACGGATGGCACGTAAGAGGCATCCAGGGACAGCTCACTGCCCGGCCCCATTCTGCTCTGCACCCTGCAGCTCCTGGACAGCCCGCTGTCCCCTGTACCCCAGATCCCTGGAAACCCACAGCCGCCCAGCTCCAAGTGTCCCGCCATGATGAGAAAACACAGCCGTCCTGCAAGACCCCAAGGGCAAGGATCCCCCAGGCTTCCACTGGGTATTGCTCCAACTCCAGTCTTGCCTTCTCCCCGCAGTCGTCCCGCCAGAGAAGATCTCCACCCCCCATGCTCCACCCTCCAAAGCAAGAGACCAAACAAAGCGACCTGCTGCCGGTCAGATGGGTTCCAGCAGAGGTGGCTCTGGATCTCGTGCCCCTCTGCTTCCTGGGGTGGCGATTCCTGCTCTTGCCCTGCCTGAGGCCATCAGGGCCGGCAGCTCTGCTGTCACTACCATGCACTCACCTGCGTCACCCACCACAGACATTGGCTGATGTGTCCCTCTGTGGGGCCCAGCTACACACGTCCAGGGCCATCCCCAGCCCTGTCTTAGACATGGAGAGTGACAAAGCCAGGGGCACAGGTGCATTCCATGCTCGACGCTGCACCTCTGCACACCCCGTCTTGTGAGGTCTCTCGCCCGAGTGCACACAGCTGTCAAGAGGCAGAGAAGGGGTTCCGACCACGCACTCCTCATGGTATCACCTTCCTCGAGGGGACCTTGTGGGATGCGCCTGTGCTGGCGGAGCCTGGCGGGGGGGAGGGACCCTCATGTCTCCAAGCCAGTCCCGGACTGGACTACAAATTTGGGTTACCATGGTAATGTGCTCTGACGTCTAAGCATATTCAGAGGACCAGCGTGGTGATGGCGAGGGTGACCAAGAGCTGACTCTCTTTGGCGTGGAGTTTAACAGCGACTCTGCCACGTCCTGCCTCCGGTGCGCAATCCCAGTCTTCTCGGAAGGAGCCACAGAGAATTCTGAGAGTGGAATACTTACTCAAATGATCCTTACCAAATGCAACAGTCACATGGATAACTGCACTGAGGACACCATCAGAGGAAACAAAGTTCACATTTTGGACGGGCAGAGAGGCAGGCATTTAATTCATCTAGTTTTATAAACATTTAGGCACCAATTCAATTTTCCTACCTAATAGCAGATTTCACAAGTGAGCTTTGATTTTCCTCCCTCCCTCTCAATGAGCTGTGAGATTATAGAAATGACTGATATAAATAAACGTTTTTCTACGTATCAATGCAGAGACGGGGCTGGTGGCAAGGATGACAATCATTGTGGTGGCAGTGACGGGTATTCACCTTGTGTACGCACAGACGCGGAGAGGCACCCTGCCGAACAGGCACTGTTTTTCCCATTAGAAACTAGGAACACTGCTTCTTCTTGTGTTAATTTTGGTGGCAGGTTTCGGACTATTAGAATAATGAAACCTGCTAAAATTTATTGGGGCCCTAAGGACATTTTCAAAGGATCCGTCCCTCTATGCCCTCTTCTTTAAAGCCTGTACAGCATAAAATGTAATTCTTATCAATAACCAAGAAGCTCATAATATCACAGCTGCATTGAAATCTTCATGCTGTGAAATCTAATTCATCCAATACACGAATCCATCACTTACGCCGACCCTTTCTCAAATGCTATAAAACTTCCAAACCCATAGATTTGTCTCCAACAAAAATAACATGAAGGGGCCTTTCAATCAATAATGGAATCCCTCTGATTCTGGTTCGGGCTGGATATTTTTTCCAACTTCGCCTTTGTTCTTCTGGGCAGGCGCCCACAAGGGAAAGAGCTTGTTTTCACTTGCAGCCTCATCAATACCTAAATCCTGGTGAACAAGTGACACTGAGAAGCTGTAATCAATAGCTCCCTCTGCGTTTTTTTCTTCTGGTCAAATGGTTCAGCTCCACTGACAACCCTGACGCTTAGAACATGATGCTAAATCTTTATCAACAGCCATCTGGGTGACTGGCAGAACAAGGCTCGGGGGGTCATTAACGCTTGTGGCACTCTGTGAATAAACTAACTCCTCAGGAATGCGTTTGTTTAGAAGAAGGTGGGAAAGTCTCAGCACATCGTATTGATTGCCTTTGAACTGCATTTAGCAAATTCCGTCTGAGGATAAAGCAAAGGGTGCTTTGTTGAGGGGGGGCATGAAGAGGTTTCTGGAAGGCTGCCCAATCATCTTACATGGGGCTAGTGAGTCCTTCATGGAAAACTTTGAAGAAATCAAGTCCCTAGGATGGGGTAAATGCACACGTAGGAAAAACCATCCCTTTCTCTTGTGGGAGTGGAGAAACCCACGCCACCAGCACATGCAGTAATGTGTTCATGTGTACTGCAAGCACCTAAGGAATTAATGCACGACGAACTTTAAGGTGTTTTGTAACATTTGAAACCCATTCTTCACTTTCCTCCTTCAAGTGCACAATTGTTCTGTTCAGCCTAAACATGAAACGTTTTCCGTGAGCAGGTGTCAATGACGTGCGTCCACGCTGGAGTCGATGTGCACGGTCCTCCTGCTGGGCCCTTGCTGTTGACATCGACAGGGACACCCACTGAGGATGTCAATTCCATTGGTGATGGCCCCTTTCCCCCTTGAGTCCCTGGGTCACCTTTCAGCCCTCCTGGCCCATGCTAATGAGGTTCTGACGGTACTGGATGGGAGCCCAACACCCTGAACTACAGTAAACTATGAAGCTGAGGGTTTCCCTGCAGGAGCGTCTCCAGCATGTCTGTGCTGTGAAGGGGACACCGCTAGGTCGTGCAGCTGCTGGCACCCGTGCAACCTTTGCCTTGGGTTGAAGGTCACTCATTGCATGGGTTGAAGCCCTTAGAAAGGCCACAGGAGGACTCACCACCATTCTCCTGCCTTCGGCACAGCAGGGATGCTGATGCAGAACCATCCTGTCCAATTCTGCCAGGACCTTGGTTCTGGCCAGCAACGGGGATATCAACATGTAGACTTTACAATGCTAGAGTTTTAAATCCCGTGAGACCCTGTTTTATAAATTTCAGTGACTGAAGCCATATTTGAACAGAGACATTCATAGAGATTAATAGCAGGGGAAGAGAGCCACACCGGTTTGCAGAACAATAAATGTTTTCTGAATGTTGCCACGAGCAGGATCGCTACCAGCCCGGGCAGAGTGAGAAACTGCTGGCGTCGCAGAAGGCAGGTGGGTGGGGGCTCTGATCTGGGCATGTCGGTTTGTGGAGCTTGTCTTCACAGCAAGAGCTGCGAGCTGCACACGCCCAGGGAGCAAGAGTGTTGGCGCCGCCGAGGAGGCCGCTCCTGTGCTCACGTGTGTGCACGGAGGGCATCGAATCAGGCCCCTGGTGTGGGAGGAGAGCGCAGCCGGCTCCACCCAGGGGCAGGAAGAGCAGGAACTGCCTGAGATGGTGATGGCCACGGTGTGACAGAGGGACGCAGGAGACACGAGTGGGTCCAGCCTTCCCCCGGGGCGGTAAACGCAGCCGTGACCCCACGGCGTGGGAGCTGACCTTTTTCTCTGCAGCCAGGTCCAACTCCTCAAAATGGACTCACACCCCGGGAGAAGGTGGGGGCCTTCCAGAGGGCAGATGTAGACGAAGCCTCACTGGAAAATGTCAAAAACTTCGCACATTTGATTCAGAAGCATCCCACATGCGCTGTAACATGGGACCCTCTGCACTGGGAGGGGAGAGCGCAGCAATGAAACCACAAAGGTGCTCTGGGACACGCTCCTGCACCCACCAGCCATCGGCAACAAAACTGGGCAGGTGAAAGGCGCGGGAGGTGGGGCCCGTGTGTTGTGCGTGTCGCCTCCGCTCCCACAGTTCAGGTATTCTCCAGCTCTGGGCGCACACCAAGACAACGTGCTCCACTGCAAACCTGCGGAAGCTGCTTCTGAAGGAGCAACAATGCAGTTTTGTGCAAAAGGCCACATAGTTGCCATCTCCTAGAAAAGTGGAGGCTCTGCCCTCGGGCTGTCAAACGGCGGCCTCTCCCCTGTGAGCAGGATGAAAATACTTTTGCAAATACACAGCAGAGCCACAGCAGTTTTTTAAAAAGTGGGGTCTAATTTAGTAATTTTCCATGCTGTGACATGACGATCATACGTGCTGTCCCTGGTAAGATGGCATGCTTCTATCATGTTAGAGACATCTGAATAGCTTTGGGGAGAAGCCGTTCCTAACGTGATCGTGCACTCTCAGTGGGTACCAGAGGGCTAATGAGAACTGGGATATCCCAGGGCACTCTCGAGGTTGTGCGGGTTCTCCTGGTGGTCATGCAGGTAGGCCCATATCGAGGTGTCCTCCCACCTCCTACTGTGTGCAACTTCCTCGCTCACACTGGACAGCCTGTGCTCCAGCATAACCAGCTGCACGGCCCGGCCCCAGGGGCACGAGCATGGCTTGTGTGGTCTTGAAGCCTCGAGCTCAGTAAAACCTGACTACAGACACACAGAAGGACGAGGACAAGGGGCCCTGGGGGTGGCACTGTCCCTGAGGAGAACCCAGGTCATGATGACAGGCGCAGCCCCAAGGAGGTGGGCTGGACCTGCACCCTTTCACACATGGCCTTGCAGCATGGGAGGGCCACGTGGGGGGCCTTTCATCTGTCTTGCTCCTGCTGCGCTCCTGGCTCCTGGAAAAGGTGCCACGCACACCCAGCTGTGCAGTGAACGAATGGATGAAACTGCGGTCACATGGAGGCTTCCCTCCCATCCTCCTCTGCACTCACCGTGGGCACGAGGGGCTCATGCAGCTGTGACTCCCGCCAAGATGGGGTGGTGGAGGGGCGGGTTTCACCACTTCTAGGGGCGTCTGGGGCAATGGTCCCCATCACAGCCATGTCTGCTCCTCTCCAGCCCAGCTTCACAGGCTGCCTCGGGGACATGCTTAATCAGAGGACGCCTGGCTCCCAGGGGCAGTGTGAGGACCATGCCCAAGTGTAGCCAGCCTGAGCCGGAGCAGAGCACTTACAGGGTTGCTTCTCATTGCTCCTCCCACAGCCCGAGCGGCTCGGGGGCTGCCTGCCAGGGCTGCTAGTTGCTGGTAAGAAACCACTTCTCCAAACTTCACGACCTTCAGCAGTTTCAGCAACACCCTTCTGGTGAACGAATCTGAAAGGCAGAATGCAGAATGATGTTATTTGGACAAACGGCTCCAACAGCACTGATATAAATAGCTACTGGTCCCAAAACGGAGAATGCACCAACACAAATAGAGTTGTTACACACAGTTACAACGTGGCCTCCACATACCGTCCTGTCACCATGTCACCAGGCGAGGAGATATGAGGCAGGCACAGAGCAGGCTGGCTTCTTGGAAGGCATCCCCGACCTTGCAGCACAGATCTCTATCTCCTCCCACCTTCCCCACGTCCCACACAGGATCGTGGACACTCTTCCAGTAAGTGGGCATGTGCAAGTCTGCAAGCACTGTTCAATTAGTAAGCACGGAACCCCCTGCCTGCCCATCTGCTTGGAAATCTTTTGTACTGCTGGTTAATTTCCAACTTCAGCTGGGACGCAGAAGGAAAAAGCAGCCACCGGCCCAGCTGCGATATTATGCTAGCTGCCCACATCCAGCATCGAGCAGAACTGCCCCCAGCTACTGCTCAGAACGCCAAACACCGTGGTACGCAGGGGCCGGCAGCAACCTTGGCTGAAGGCATCTTTAATGAGTAAGGCTGCAAAAATAAAACAACTTTATTCCCATTCTAATTGGCTAACCACAGCAAATCGCATTTGCTTCGCATCCTGGTGCAGGAATGAACAGGTGAACGCAGGAGAACATTCTCCCCCTCTGCCTCCAGGTTTTAGAATTGCTTCCTTGGTGTGGGGTTTGCAGGAGAGAAACCCAGGCGCATGAAGGAGGCCCGTCTGAATCGATACCTATTGTCTTTCCAAAGGGGACACATGGCTCAGGAGCAGTGGAGACAAAGTCCTGTTCCCCATCGTGGGGCTCCGTACCCTCCAGGGGCAGGAGTTTGTGAATGGCAACAGCACAGGGAAGGACTCCACGGGCAGGAACGCTGTGGAGAGTGTCCATAATAGCATTAATTACACCTGGTGCCAAGCTGGCAAAGTATGATTTGGTTCTTAAAGGAAACACACCCGAACATGCGTGTCAAATAATAAAAACTACTTCTTAACTGAAGGGAACGATAATCACTTCACCGGGAAAAAAAAAATCTGTTTAGTCTTTATTATAACATTAAGCAAATTAAACATCAGCATAATCCAGGTGATACTAGAAAAGGGTCATCAAAGAAATTAACTTTGTTGTTCATTAATTTACATGGATTAGTAGAGGGCAAAGAGATAGCAAATGTGCTCTAGTTTTTATGATATAATTTCAAACTGTACACCATTTGTGGCAGGAGGGTGACTTTGGGGTTAATCAGACTGATTTGTCCTTTTAATTGCTTTCTATTCAAAGAAAATTCATTAGATAATGTTCTCTTCAAAATTCATGAATCAATTTAACTGAAGAAACCACATTAACAGCTTTGGGTTCATTAGCACACACAGTTGTGGTACTGGCTGATTGCTGGGAGGGTCTCCTTAGGCAAACAGACTCTGTTTACTGTCATTTGAACAGGAAGGGTTTTGAAATCAAACTGTTAATTTTTATTATTGGTGCTGTGGTTGTTATACTTAACTTTAAAAAGAAAAAAAAGAAGAAGAAGAAAAGTGAATCAGCCTGGTGCTGACTTGGAGAGAAAGATCTCAGGGGCGGCTGTCTTGCAAAAGAAACAAGGCCGCGCGATGACACCCCGAGAGGCGGCGGCCAGTGTCCTGCCTTCCTTGGGGAGAACGGCGCTGGTGGTCTGGCCCTCCATGCTCTGACCCAGGGACAGGACGCTGCCTAGGTTTTCCAGAACAGCCTGGAACTTTACTAAACCTGTAGGAATAAATGAGGGAGGTGTGTGCTAACCCCGCTAGAGCGTGGAGCGGTGGCAGAGACAGTGGCACAGTTCCAACGTCCTGTCCTGGGCACCAGCCTCGTGTACTGCTCTGACGAATGGCTGCCCAGTCACGGAGCACCCTTCCTTCCCTGCGCCAGAGCATCGTGTCAGAAAGCAGTTTCGTGTCCTGGTGCGAGCATAGAGTTCATCAAACACGTTCAGCTTCACTGTCCATTTTTCAAGGAAAACATTTCTTCCCTGGCACGTGCCAGGCAACGTGCTAGCAGAACAGCTCGCAGACGCAACAGCCAGCAGCCAGGCCTGTCACTGCACAGACACCTCTGGATGCTCAGTCTTCCCTGTAGGGCACAGAGGCACTAATTAGTCTAAACAGGCCTCGACCCCGTGCATGATGGGACGGCTGAGGGGCTGGCACTTTCTGCTGTGAAGCATCATTCTAAAGTGCAGTGAGATCTGCTCATAAAGATGGACACGTGTCAATGTGCACAAGATGACTTCTTGAGGTTGAGGCGACCACATCAGTCGCCTGTGGCTGGCCCAATCATTTCAGGTGGCCCAAAGGGGCAGCCATGAAAACTCCGTCCTCCTGTCTCGGGCCCTGCCCTCCCGCGTGCTCCCTTCCTGCACCTGCTCCTCCTGCTTTCCTTCTGGTCCCCTCCTTCCTCCTGCCCGCTCTGGCCTCGGGTACTGCGGCCGTGCTGGAGGCTGACCTGCTTCTCAGAGTCCCCTCCTCTCAGGGACGTGGGTGTTTTCATTTCGGCAGGGGTGGCAATGTAGCACACCCACTGTAACCACTGGACCCAAGAGGACTGTTCTCCAAATCCTCTCCCTGCCTGGCTGAATACCGCTTTCTACCGCTGGCCATGGGAGAAGTCATTCTGTGTCAGGGACATGGGTTTCATGCCAGCACCTTGTGCGCCACATCATGGGGGTGGCGAGGGGGGCTCTGAGGAGGGCCAGGCGGTCGGGGGCCAGCTCAGCCCCACCCCAGGAGCACAGCACAGGGAAACAGGCAGGGCCACCAGGCTCTACCACTGCAGACCTCGGATGAGCTGCTTCCTCGTCCCGGCCTCTGCCTCCCCTTGTGATAAATGTCATTGTAAGAGCTACCCCGACAAGCACACCCTGTGCCCCCACTGCACGTGGCTGGGCTGCGAGTCAGCTGAGACTCAACCCTGCAGGGGGCACCGCAGCACACTCCCAAGTTCTTGGGGAAGAGCCTCCTTTCTCTCAACTGCCACAGTTCCCTGGATGGTGACCTTTGTTGAAGGGTGCAGTTTCCTGAGGAGGAGACATCCTTCTGCAGCCCGGGCCTTGGGGCTCTTCCTTGGCCAGGCTGCAGCTAGGGGGACAAACTTGGATGCAGGTGCACAAGTACTATTTGCAGGACCCTGCCCGGGGAGCGTCTCGGTGGCTGTGCTGTGGCCATGGACTTGCCCTGGCACATCTGTGGCCTCAGAGAGTGGCAATCCAGCCCCTGCAGGACTTCTCCTGCCATAGCAGCGAGTGGCCTGGAAAGGGGCTCCCCGGGATCTGGGGTCTGTGGCACTCACCAGAGGTAGTTGACCGACTGCTGCCTGGCCATCAAAAGCTGCCAGAATGAACTTGTGAGGAGTGAGCCTGAAACATGAAGGGGAGGGAGGGGGGGTCCAGCCCCAGGTGAGATGGGCAAGCCTCGATCTCCTCTTGTGGACACCTTTGTAGACCTGGGCAGACGCAGACAGCAGCCACGTGAGGGCTGTGCAGAGCAGTGTTGCGGACAGACCGGAGGAAGGTGAGGACTTGAAGCTCCACCACCATGACGAGCGGGCTCACCGTTTCCCCTCTGCTCTCCCCAGCCTGCCTTGTCACAGTGCTGAGGTGAGTGCTGGTGCAGAGGGAACACCTCGGGGCTCTAGTCCAGTGTGGGGAGGAAAAAGCATCTCCCACACTCACAGAGAGTAGAAAATCTCTGAACTCTTGCACTTCAGTCCCTCCCTAAGCAATCTTGTGGTGGTGGGGGTAGCAACAGGGCCCACCAGAGCCTACACCCCTGGGAAGGAGTCAGCCCCTTTCTGACAGGAGGAGGTGGGGTCCCAAGAGGTGGGCAGAATACTGTGCCTTTCCCTCTCTCTGTCTTCCTGATGCTAAGCCCGATCAGGGTTGCAGGAAGAATGCAGCCGCAGGAAGAGTGCAGTTGCAGGAAGTGTGCAGCCACAGGAAGCGTGAAGTTGCAGGAAGCGTGAAGTTGCAGGAAGCATGCAGCCGCCGGAAGCATGCAGCCGCAGGAAGCGTGAAGTTGCAGGAAGCATGCAGCCGCCGGAAGTGTGCAGCCACAGGAAGCATGCAGCCGCAGGAAGCGTGAAGTTGCAGGAAGCATGTAGTTGCAGGAAGCGTACAGCCACAGGAAGCGTGCAGCCGCAGGAAGTGTGTAGCAGAGTAGCGTGGGTTAAGCCCCAGCTTTCTGTATAGGTGACTGAAAGGAGAGCCTGAGAACTGGAAGGTACCAGGAGACTGTGGAGAAAGAGGAGTTTGTAAAAGCAAACAAAAAATTTGTTTATAAACTCCTGGAATCGCCTGTTCAGGTGAGCTGTGCACCTGCCCATCCGTGCATATGGGGATCTGACCCTAAACCAAGGACTTTGAGAACTGATTATCAGAGGGTTAGGAACTGCCAGGTCCCAAACTGGCTGCTGAAAGGTACCCAAGAGGACAGATCTTAAAAGGAATGCAAAGGATTTGAAAATGAAATAGACATTAAAATCAAAATCCACAAAAAGCTGGCCAGAACTTATGAACCAAATCCAACTAGGTTTACTGCCTCCTGAAACAAAAATATCAACATTATTTGTAGGATTTATACAAGACACTGAATCTCATAACATAATGTTCAAAATGATAAGCACACAATCAAAAATTACTAAGCATGTAAATAATCAGGAAAATCTCAACTCATTTGGGAAAAGATAATCAATGCATGCTAAGGCTGAGATAACACAGAAGTTGGGATCATCTGACAAAAACTTTAAAGAATCTGTTATAAAAATGTTGTAAGAAGGGAAAACATTCTTGAAACAAATGGAGAGACAAAGTCACAGCAAAGAAATAGAAGCTATAAAGAATAACCAAATAAAATAATCTAGTACTGAAAAACACAATAACCAAAATTAAAAAGTGCACTGCATGGGCTCAACATCAGAATGGATATGC